TCCCCCCCAAACTTAACTCCCAACCAATGTGGGACTTTGACATTTTGCCAAACTTCAACAAATATCAAATGAACTTTATATTTATTTTAGTGCAATATTTTTTTTCCTTCTATTGTTACAGTCAAAGAATGTAATTGACTCTTTAAATTAGTGGTGAATTAAATAAAAGCATACAAAGGGACTAGCTTTAATTTTTTTGGTGAAGAAACATCTACTAAGAATGGAATTTTATTCAATTGGAGGCTTCTTCTCAATATTTAGCGTTTAAGTGAGAGAAAAGTTCCACAAAGTATTTATGTAAACCATGTTTCGTCTATGAAATTTAACCACTTAATTAAGAGTTCCATTAGATTAATTTTAATTTGAAAGGGAAGATGGGAGATTCTTCCTTGAGGTAACACCCAATTATATTAATAATTAATTACTCCGTACTATCATTATACTATAGGAATCAAATGAGAATAAGCTGAAAGTCAACTTTGTCTTGGGTCAATGGAAACTTCCAACTTTTTTTTTTTTTTTTTAAATTTGGGGAGCTTCGTACTTTGGAACTTGGAAGTTATCTACCTAATAAATTATGTCCCCTTTGGCTGTTGAGATTTTCTCAATCTACCATATAATTAATTAATTCACAACTCCCAATTCTATTGCTGACAAAATTGTAATCTGAATCTTGGCACATACAAAGGAAATTAAAAGAAAAATCTTACCCCCTGAATAAATTAAGGACAATAGGGTAGCTGGAAAAAAGAAAAAAAAAATACAGTAATCGCTTCTCTGTTTCATGATTTTCTTAATGAAATGTCTAGATCTCAATATAGTCAACTCCTTGCTAATTAATACTTTGATGATTAATTATTACTTAGTCGTTCTTATACTAAACTCAATTAAACAATAATTAAAGGATGCGCGGTTTCAGCCTTTGCAATTTCTATGGAGGGAAATTTTTTACACTATCAATATTATAAAGTTAACTCCTTAATAATATAATATGAGTAAGCACTTATACATGTGATTGCTCAAAGACCAGCTAAGGCCTAAGAGTATTAGCTAAGAAAAAAGAGAGTGAGGGTATAGAAAGAAAGAGGAAAGATTAAAAGGATTAAATTGAAACAACTAAAACTTAGAGCACTAGAATGGAAATAAAGTGAAAAAGGAAAAGAGAGGATGGAGAAGACAGAAAGGCATAGAAGAAGCACATGAGTGGTTAAGAGTCAACATTTAAAAAGCACATTAACCATGCAATGAATATTGGTTTTCCTACAGCTAGAGTACTGGTGTAAATGCAAGTGTGGTCCAAGAAAAAAGACTGCAAATTTTTAACTCAAAGTTTTCTTTGTTAATTAATTACTCTAGTACATGTGGAGCTGTGTAATGGTAAGGAATCTCTCTTGGAATTGAAGAGGAAATACAAATTATTGGGACTCCATTTTTCTTTCCCATATCCTTTTTTATCCGTTCTTTCATGAATTCCTTAGTTGCACTACTACTAGAATTGTTATTTATTGCACTAATAAATAAAAATGTAGGTTAGAGAAGTTTGATGTGATAACATTGACAAACCCCATTCATAAAAATTTGAACCGTCTTTTCTGGCGCAATGCATGCTAAATAATTAATACCTTCCTCACAAAGTTGTTGAACACTAACAAAGACAGGAATAGTAAACAACCATAAGTGAAAACGGAGAAGGAAGTAGAACCACCCATGATCATAAAAAAAGGACAATCCAGCGTACAAAAAATCTCACATTTTCGTGGGGTCGGAAGAATGTATTTCAAGAGGATATTATGTAGGCAAATTTACCTTGACACAAGTATCTTTGTCTGATTTCACGATTCGAACGTGTGACCATAGATCATAGTGTTAGTCAATACATGTTTGGACTAATACATGACTTGTATATATAGTTTTAAGGGGCATTTAGTTTACGGTTAGTTATGTGGAGATTGTAATGTAGAAATTATGTACTCGATGAATTATAACGCAATGATTCTTATACAAAAGAGTAGTAATGTGGGAAATTTTTATGAGGTAAACTATAACACATGGATTGTTATGTATAGATGACCTAATTTTAGAATATTTTTATCTTTAGATACTCTTATCAGTATATACCTAACTTTGAGAGCTCCTTCTGATTAAGCTCTTTATGATAGTATCTTCTTCTTCTTTTTTATGAAAACACATACACTTAACTATATATTATAATTATAAGTTAGAAAGACTAATGCGTACGATGTATTTGTTGGTATATGAACAGAGTGATGCCTATCAAGCAACAGGATGCTACAATCTACTATGTGCAGGATTTGTGCAAACAAATAGTAGAATTGCCATTGGAGCTGCCATTTCTCCAGTTTCTTCTGTTGAAGGAAATCAATATGATGTAACCATTCTCATTTGGAAGGTCCCTTCTACTTTCCCTTGCTTTCTATTAAAATTCAATTTGCCTTTCTAGGTTCTAAGTACATATAGAATTTTCAGACTATGAGGTAAAGTATGTCTACAATAACAGTGACATGATAATCTGAAGAATATATACCAAGCTAAATTTCTTTTTAGGATCACAATTCAATGAAGTAAGCGACAAATGCTATTATGGTCTGTCTTATGCAGTGCCATAGCCACACTACCAATGATGGTCAAGCCAATATCTTTTGTTGAAAAATTATAGTGTATATATAAGTCAAATATTATTTTATTCGGTTATATATATTGAATCCCCTTAATATAGTTGAGTGAGGCAGTCCTGTTATTCACGGGTTCAAAGTTATCTGCCAACTTTGTTTGCCAAAACTAAACAGAGACCACCTTGTATGGTCTATTTGACTCTTTTTCAAATAGTTTATACCTTTTATTCATATTTCTGGGTACGCCACTGCCACTCATCTTAAGGTATTATCTCTCTGGAAAAGGATGTCCTGCTTATAAAATAGTTATGTACAAAAGAAAAGAAGTTTCCATTTTTACAATCTACAAAAAAGTTAAATGTCTTATTGTTGTCAATTTTAGGATCCAAAGCTAGGAAATTGGTGGATGGTGTTTGGTGATAACACACTAGTGGGCTATTGGCCCGCCGAGTTATTTACTCATTTAGCAGATCGGGCCACAATGGTGGAGTGGGGTGGAGAAGTCGTAAATTCACGAGCCAACGGAGAACACACGTCCACTCAAATGGGCTCAGGCCATTTTGCTGAAGATGGGTTTAGAAAAGCTAGTTATTTCAGAAATCTTGAGATTGTGGATTCTGACAACAGCCTCAGCTCGGCCCAAGATATATCAATCTTAGCTGAAAACACAAATTGCTATGACATTAAAAGTGATTATAACAATGAATGGGGTACCCATTTCTATTATGGTGGGCCTGGTAAAAGCCCACAGTGCACGTGAAATGGGCCGAGTGTCTTTGATGAGGCAAAGTCTCTATCAGCAATCTGTGTTTTTTTTTTTTAGAGAGATTTAAATGGAAAGGGCTTGCTATTTCCAACTTTGTTTATGCTAATTCCACATTGGTTTTGTTCTTATGTCTATGTTTTGAGAGGAAAAAAATGTATGTATTAATTAAATAAGACAAATAGCATTAAACAGGTAAGGAAATAGCAAATATTCGGTTGGAATGGCTACTAGTACAAAATTTATTATCGTGGCTTTGAATCTATTATATGTATCAATTTGTTTTTTCATTAATTGTCACTTGATCAGTTGGTCTTTTATATAGTATCATTTCCAGAAAAACCAAAGTATTTCTCTGATACTTTATGTATTTAAAGAAAGTAAAATGCATATGGTACACAAACAAGTTTAGAGTTGCCATCCACTCTTGAAAATGATGGAAGTGTTAGGTTCAACAGTCATCAAAAGCAAGCAATACATGATGGTTGCTCACTCATGGGATACTGCATGAATCAAAAGCTCGCAATCACATTTGTTTGCCAAAAGACAGATTAAAATTATTTTCAATGCAATTTCAAATGACAATAGCACTAAACAGGCTTAGTAAAATATAACGGTATGACCGGTCGTTTGAGTACTAGCTTTAACTTCAGAGTTTCGAGACCTCCTGTACATACATTTGATGTTTATTGATTTGCGTGCGTGGTCCGTGTTGTTTTTGGAAAGTTTTTAGAAGAAAATGTGATTTTTTGAGTTTAAAAGATGCTAGAGTTAACCACGGTCAATATTTTTAGTAAACAACCTCGGATCAGTGTTTGGACGATAGATAGGTTCGTATGATGTTATTGAACTTGTACATAAATTGGTTGGGGTCCAGGGCGACCCGAGCACATTTCGGCACATTATGTGAAAAATTAAAAAATTTGTTTAAACTTGAAAATCTTAAATTTTGATGATAAATTCTTGTTGTGTGATGTTAATTTGGTGATTTAAGTGAGCGAGCAAGTTCATAGGATGTTATTACACTTGTGTGCATGTTTGATTTGGAGCCCGAGAGGCTCGGGAGAGTTTTGGATACTTAGCGGACTCATTTTTGGCTTAAAAAGAATGTTGGTATATCATGTCTGCAGGTCTCGCATTTGCGAGAACCTATTCGCAAATGCAAGGTCAGTGTCGCATTTGCGATACTAGGGGAGTTGAGTCAACTTCAGCTTTTGCGATATTAATTCCGCAAATGCGATGGTCGGGATGTTCGCATTTGCGAATTTTGTGTCGCATTTGCGACTCTGAGGAAATTGGGGCAGATCCGCATTTGCGATAGTTTCATCGCATTTTCTATGATAGCAGGCGCAAAGATTTTTTCGCTTTTGCAATAGTCGTAATTGAGAACTAAGTTTCGCAATTGCAATATTTGCAGTTGGGTAAAAGAGAAAAAAATCAAGATTTAGCTCATTTCACAGTATTTTTCAACCCTAAACTCCATATAGGAGTTTTTTGAAGAGGATTTTCTTCCCAAATTTTATTGGTAAGCATCTTTAACAAGTTTTTAATCAATTTCAACTACTTTTTCATGACTTTTAACATCAAATCTAAGAAATTCATGGTAGAAACTAGGAGTTTGGGTAGAATTTGGAAATTTGTAAAATGGAGATTTAGACCTCAAATTAAGGTCGTATTTCGAAACAAATCGCATATCCAGGCTCGGGGATAAATGAGTAATCGAATTTTGGTTCGAGTCTTGAATTTGGACCAAGCAGGCCCGAGATAGACTTTTGTTGGCTTTTAAGATTTTGGTCATGATTGCACTTATATTGATTGGGGATATTTTCTTTAGCATTATTTGACTTTGGTAGATGATGATTGACTAAGTTTTGATCGTTTTGTGGATTATTTCTATAAAAGATGGTATTGGATTGTAAAAATTATCTCTAAATGAGGTAAGTATCTTGCCTAACTTTGTTGGGGGAATTTTTTCTATTAATTGGTATTGTTTGCTACATGCGGGGATGATGCATATATGAGGTGACGAGCGTATATGTATATGACAAGGTTAATCATGCTTGGGGGCAGATTATACGATTATTTATGCCTTTTTGGAATATGTGACCTTCTTGCTTCATATTTTACTTGACTTCTAGATTAATATGAATATGAAGTTAAATGCTAGAAACTATGATTCAGCTTATTATGACTTGATTATAATTTGACGGACTTTTTGTGAAACTATTGATGTGCTAAATTCGGTTATCACTATACATAATCACAAATACATCGCTACAATTGTTATTCTTGAGATATTTGGTTTCCATACTTGAGTTGAAGATCGCTTTTGAGATTCGTTCAGAATAACTGAACAATAAGGTTCTTGAGATTTGTTGAATTATTATTGGCTTGAAAGCTGTGATTGATGTTCATTTGGAGTATTTGCTTAATCACTCTTCTTGATGTTATTCGTGCACTCTTCCTTCATTGCTTGTTATTGCTATACATATGCTTGATGAGGAAGAGTGTAAAGCACGAAGGGTAATGTCGTGTCATTACATATACATTATCATGTGTGGAAGAGTGTAAAGTACGAAGGGTGATACCATGCCATTGCATATACATTATCATGTGTATTGGTAGAAAAATAGGCATGAAACGTGGATTAACGGATTGGTGACAGGTGGAATTTGTATTAGGTTAATGAAGAAGAATGATGAGGCATGGTTAAAATACTCGCGAAATTTATGAAAGAAAGCACCGTACATGACAGTTGGAAAAGAAGAAATAGGCACAAGATGCATGATGATCATAAAAGAGGAAGATTCATGAACAATTATAAATATGAAAAAGGAATCAGCATTATCCCTGATTACGCGCGATTACCTATTATTACCCTAGCCGTTACGAGTAATTTTAGCAACATGCAATTAATATTAGTAACGGCTAGGAATTAAGTAAAGGAACCGTTACATCTGTGTATCCTTATATAAGGGCCCTTATCTTATCTTGTACGATCATGAAAATATTCTCAAATATATGCAATCAGTCTTTTACTTTTATATTTCTACTTGATTGAAGATTCCGATCCATAATTCTGGGGAGAAAATAGCGATCATCAATAAGATTTCATTTCTTCATTTTTCATTTTAATTGTTTGTTTTATTCTCGCTTTTTTGGAAAAGTGAAGTAAATTTGGTCATTAGAAACCCGATTTTTCTTTATAATTGACTTTGATCGCAAAAATTATTTTTTGGTTAAATAAATTGGTGCCGTTACCGAAAATCTGATAATCGGTTCACTTTACGTATTTTATCATTAGCAATAAAGCATGTTTATAAATACTAACGAAATTGCAAGTCTTAAATCACCATACGAAACTATTCCCGGGCTCGTCCCAAACGGACCTCGATTACACCAAAACCAACTTCAAACCAAATTTAAAGAACTTGAAAAACCTTCAATGTGCCGACAACAATATTAAGTGCCGAAACGTTTTTGGGTCATCAAAACCCGATCCGAACATACGTCAAAGTCCAAACTTATGATACAAACCTATTGGGACCATCAAATCCCGGTTCCGAGGTCGTTTACTATAAATGTTGACCCAAATCAAACTAACCCTTTTAAGCCAATAATAAGGAACTAAGTGTTCTGATTTCAGCCCGAACCCTTCCAAACTCGAACTAATCATCCCGCAAGTCATAAAACAGTAAAAGCACACACGGAGAGTCTTATTTAAGGGAATAGGGATCTAGAAAGAAAAACGACCGATCGGGTCATTATATTTACTTACCATATTTTATACTTGTCTACTTGACGTCATCACGACCTATAGCGGAAATTGGGTCATAACGGTTCAACTCAATTTCGACCTAAATTTCAAAAATTTACTCAAAAATTTCACCAAATTGACTCTAACTTTAGCCACAACCTCCAATCAATATTCAAACTAAACATTATGGCTTAAGAAAAAAATTGAAAAAACATGAGAACTCCGTTGAATAATTGAAAAAGGAACCAATGAAATTTTTAAATTTTTTTAAAAGGACCAAATTATAACAGTATGCTGCTACATTATATTGTATAATATAACAATATATTGTTGGAATAAATTGTATACTAAAATAGTATATTTTTATACCATTTTGGTTTACAAGTACAAATTTATCTTCTTCGTTAGTTCAACTCAATTTCGACCTAAATATCAAATTTCTACTCAATTTTTTCAGCAAATTAATTCAAGTTTTAGCCACAACCTTCGATTAATATTCAAACTAAATATTTTGGCTTAAGAAAAAATTTGAAATAACATGAGAACTTCGTTGAAGAGAATTTTCAAAGAGTTTAAAAAGACCAAAATATAACAGTACAATGTTACATTATATTGTATACAGTAATAGTATACTATTAGAATAAATTGTATATCAGAATACTATATTTGTATACTATTTTGGTGTACAATACAAATTCGTCTTCTTTGCTAGTTCAACTATATTTCAATCCGAATTTCAAAAGTCTACTTTAAAATCTCCATCAAAGTGGCTTAAACTTTAGCTACAACCTTCAATCAACTTTTCAAACAAAACTCATGCAGAATCAGATCAAAATAATTATAAACTCAACAAATCAAGTTTATGAGTTTCAAGCTTCAAGATCCTTTAACGGTAAATTTAATTTGTTTTTTTTACAATCAATCTCCAAAAATTAACATAAAATGTACACATTACCTAATGAGTTTCAGCTTCATAATACTACAAAAAATTCACACCTGGCAGTTTGAACTCATTCATATGGAGTTTCAATTATTTTTTCTTCAGATCTGAAACTCCATCCACTATTTTTATGTGATAACGATTGATAAACAGTTGAATAGAAGATTATCACGGTATAGTACTCTCGATAGCGACGATAGAGGTTTATGGTGGTATTTACATGGTTGTGGATCTTTAAAATGGGGAGGAAAGGTTAGCAGATGTTCAAAGAAGACTTGGGATGGTTAGGCTGGTAATTAGTTTCAGTTAAACGGGTATACACTGTAATATATTTAACATTGGGTAAAAACATGTAAATATTTATATTATATTAAAAGGAGAGTAGTGAAACATGTGGTTAAGCCAAGTGGCAAGCTAAAATGAAGCCACTTGGCAATTTTAAGACAACATTAAAAATTTAAATTATAAATGGAAACATATTTAATGGAAGTAGTAGTACAAGATTTTCTATAGGTATCTTTAATTAAATTTGTGTATAATCCAGTTATGGTAGGTATCCTTTTTTGAG